CCCTCAGCTTTGCCCATTTCTCCCCCTTTACATTCTTTCTTTTCGGAACAGTCTTGATATACATTCTCCCTCCCTCCCCCTTTCGTCTTTTTTAGGCCTCCTTTGAAAAAAGAAGAAGTCTTTTTCTTCTCTATCTCTGACGACGATAGCTGTTCGATGATTTGTCTGTGCTGCTTTGAGGCAGTTTCCCTCTCCGACATTAAAGGCTGTTCATTAAAGATTTAGTTAAGTTGTTTGTCTTTGCTTTCAATCTTTTCGTGCAGAGCAGAAAAAGTCATTTTCAAGTTCTGATCTCAAGTTGAGTCTCAAAATGATTAATGTTAAATTGACATTCTTGAAGAAGTCCTTTGATATAATCCACTGTGATTTGCGATGATGATTCTCCCCCTCCTCCCATGGCCGTAGCAGTCAGCAGGTTAATTACTCAGATTTCCCACATGCTTTTTAGCTAGTCCACACTTAAAGTCTTACGAGGGAGGATATTATTTGATTTACAGACCACCTTGTAGCCAGATACAGAGTCACTTAGGTTAAATTATGCAGAGTTATTTAGAGTTCTTAAGTCCTGACTTTATAGATTTATGAGAAGCGAGTTTCTCTGGGAGGAAGGGTTAAGAGAGAAAAAGCACAGAGTTGGTTTCGTTTTCTGAGCTGTGGCATAGTAAAGAAAACTCCAATGTTACAGGCATCAACAAAGTTATGCCGCTTGAGATTATTCCTTCTCATCAGCTTTCAAACAGCAGATTTGATATTTTACTTGCTGTAGCTTAGCAGCAGATTGTTAATCTCTGTTCTGCAGTCAGATAATAAATCTCATATCTCCCTCTCTGAGCAGCTAACTCACCATCATGGCGACTTCACGAGACAGATTGCGTGTAGGAAGGGAACTCTTCCAAAAAAACAGACTGTCATCTGAGATTCGGCGGTTCCAAAGCCTCTACTTGCTGACAAGTCCCACTCTCCTGTGGAAACTTGCCCCCCTTCTCGGGGGGGTTCCTCTGACTTGGAGTAAACCCAGGGGAATCCAGAGCCCTGGAATTTCCCCTGTTCTCGCTGCTCGTTGCTCCACCTCCCTCTTTTATAGGTTTATTAAGAACACCAGAGCACAGCAAGGATATGTTCTTAATTTTTGAAATCACTGTTTCAGAAAACTTTAAGCTGTGGCAATGCACATGTACAACTGTAGTACAATGCAGCAACTAATTAATGAACAGAAGCACTGGATAACTTGGAGGGTAGGCTGCATCGTCCCTCAAACATACCACAGGTGGCATCTTCTTGTGCTGGTGGGGAAAAAGGCTGCAGTTTGCATTTCAAAAAAGGCACACAGTGGTATCTGTGCTTTGCTTAGAAGCTGATTACTGCTCCCAAAAGCCTTGCTGAAATTACCTTGTAAACAAGGTGCTCACTCCCTGTGTGCCATATTTCAAAGGCAAAATGTGGCTTTTTTCCTCCCACACTTGAATTAAATTGGGTGAATTCATTTTTCAGACTAAAAGTATTTTTTGCTTTATGCAAATGTTTTCCCTAACATTGCCTGTAGTAGCTTTATGTTCATATGACCTCTTCATTTAGCAGACATTTAAAATATCTAGCAGTTTTATGCGTGTTCTATGCAAGTCTACTCAGATGTTAACTCCACTGAGAGGAAATTCATGTCAATTTCCCCTTCCTCCTTCAGACTCCATAACAGTTTCCACACTATTCCAAGGGTTTTCCTAATTATCTACAGTATCTTTTCAGAAAGCACTGTGGACTACAGAGGAAATGAAGAATTAGTAAAAATATCTCCCATTCCTCCAGTGAGAACAACCCATAAGCAGAATTTTTATATTCTGAATCTTGATTCTGACTACAGCTTCAATACAGAGATTGCAGATGTACTTAACTATCACTGAAATCAAAGAAATAAATTAGCCATGACTAATCTAAGTCCCAATGCTTTCTATAAGACAGGCACCCGTATGTTTGCAGGACCTACTGAATTAAGTGTGCACAGAAACTAGAACAATAGTTTTGGGAGCAAAATGAAGCTTTGAAATTGAACCCATCACATCATGCACCAGATACTGTTGTGGTGCAACCACTGTTCATTTTAGTAGGGTAGGTATAAAACCAACATTCACTAGATTGTGCCAGAATACTTTTTTTAAAAAAAGTAAGTAAACATTCAGTAATGCATAGCAGATAGCAAACTTTGATGTATACAGAGACATCCTACTACCTTCAGTGGAGAACCAGATTACTACATGTTCCTTGATTTGCTTGGATCAACTCTGCTGAAATGAATGGCGCTACTACATCCGAAAGCTTCACAGGCATATTAGTACGTGGCAGAAATATATAGCGCCCCAGGCAAGAATTAACTTTAAACTATTCGCTTGGTCATCTCCATTTGGAAAAAAAATGTTGACAATGCTTGCAGTACCTAACTGATTACAGTGCCAATAATGTTGCTTTAAGAAAAAACAATCTTCTGCTGATTTTTACCTAGAATGAATTCTTTCTTTTTCTTTCTTTCATAGATTTGTATACTGTCCCATTAGTGCAAAGCTGAATGACATCCAGCTGAAATTGAAAAGGAAATATACTGTAATATTAATGAGCAGATATTCACTTTTTCAAATAGTAGCCAAACAATTTGAAGTAGATGGGAGGAGGTCAACAGACTTGTTATGCTTTTGTTTTGTTTTTTTCAGTACAGGTCACTGCAGATAATAAAGTCCAGAACAGTCCAACTAATCATCCCCCTTTATAGACTGGTTCCAAGATGAATGTCCAGATTGCCCACCCTCAAAACCAGCCGTGTTCGGGTATCCAGAAGTGGCCAAATATCAGTTTTGTGTCTATCAAACTGACAACAGTGACTGCAAGCAATTTAACAGAAACAATGGGTCTGTAAAAACAGTGGCTGAATTCAAATTCAAACAATATGGAACATGCACAAAAATGTCATACTGTATTCTGTATTGAAACTCTACCCTTTATATAAGTTAAGGTATCTTTTATACTGCAAGTTATGAAAAGATTTCAAGGACTCAATCACTAGAAATTGTTTGATTATTTATGTTGGTGTAAGTGCAGTGGTGTAAATCACAGCAGCAGATCACTGCTAGTTTACAAGTCATCATCTGTCTTCCTCATCATGCACCAAGCCACACAAAAAATTCAATACTGAACTCTAAAATACTCACTTCTACATTGGTGTATGTTCTGGAGAAATTCAGAGGACAGCAGATATCAACTTTGGCTATTTTGTCAAGAAAGCTTTGTCTTCAAAACCGTAAGAAACTGAACCAAAAATGACAGTGAGCTAGTAATTTTTTTCCATAGCTCCATAACAGTACTTTAATATTCTGAATACAATAAATTGTTTACTATAAAATTACAAGCAAATCCAAACATCCCATGAGGTTTTTAAAATAATCAAATTCCAAAGTCCAGAATTAAAAGAAGTTAAAATTTCCTTATTCTTTTAAGTGAAATAAAATTCCATTTACATTTTTTAAAATCCTCTCCTTCCAGTACAGATTAAACATTAGAAAATAGGAATTCTAACTTTAAAATGACATGCAGCTTATGCATGTTTAATCAGGAATAAATCTACTTTGTTTAACAGCATTTCCTCCTAAATCAGTAAACATAGGACTGCAACCTAAACTTAAGGTGCTTTGTGGATGCAAAAATGCCACTATCCTTCTACTTTTAAATGTAAGTATCTGATGCATGTTGGGACACTTACAAGAGTCCAGACCTTCTCTGTAGTTCACATCAACAAAATGTAATTCATATTTTGCAAAAACGTTTTCCTCTCAATAGTCATATGAAATCATAGAAATCACAGAAAAGTGAAGTTGGAAGGGGCCTATAAGGCCATCAAGTCCAACCCCCTGCTTAATGCAGGAATAAGATCAAAGCTTATCTGCCGGGTGATAATCTAAGTTTTTCTTGGATGCACAATGAAAAACACAATGTTTTAGACAGGACTTTCTAACAGTGTTCATATGATTTAAAAAAAATACTTATTGCTAGAAATCCTTTCTTTTTGTATATGTCTTGTCAAGAATCTGTTCAGATACTCAAAGATCACTGAATTTTATAATAACCTCAAAACAATCCTTGCCCTCATTTAAGCTTTGCCTAAACAGCTGTGTGTGTTGCCATGCAATGTCACCATCCCCTCCGCTTAGTTCGGCTTCCAAGATAACATCTGTTACGTTAGAAATATCAGGGTAGGAGTGAAGATTTTTATCTACAGAAAGGGAGGAAAAAGACATAACAAAAGCTGTTCAAACACCTGTTGTATTAATAAGAATAATATAAATTATTGGGCTAAAGTGTCAGTCCTATCTCTGGTGGACTGATTAAAATCAACAAAGTTAATTGTAATGAAAAGTCCCTTTCATTTCAATGGATTCACTCTAAATAGGACTAATGTTGGATTTGGCCCATTGATTTAAAGAAGGCTATGAAAACAACTGCAACATATTTATCATTTACAATTCATAGTGTAGAGAAGAAAATATGTCTCTGCTTCAGAAAACTCCTAGACATGCTGACATCAATTAAAAATCTGTAAAGTATGTCCTAAAGTTTAGCTAAAGCTAGATACTTCTTGACTATTTATATTTAAACCATTTTATACCTCCCCTTGAGTTATTCTCTGAGTCAGTCTTATGTAACATGTTCTTCAAGTGTCTGGGAATTTATGTATGTGCAATACCACCATGCCAGGAGTTATTCCAGGTTAGAATGGGTAGATTGCAGCTGATAATATCCATAAGACAAAGTAATTTAGAAAATGCAGAACATTCATATATAAAAGAGAAGGTCAAGATGCACTGATGTACAATTATGCAAAAGGTTTCAAGGAAAGAATAAGAATTATGAAGGCCAAACAAGACTAATAGATCTTAGAAACAGACAAACTTCAATGCTATAAGGTACACCAGGGACTACACAGGAAAGGGTTAAATAAGGTTTTGATAGACAAAGCTGAGTTTTATATGCACCATTTGAAGGGAAAAAGGCAAACACACATTTGCTCATTAAGCAACTACAGTTCCAGCCACTACTATCCATGATGCTTTGTCAATGGTGGGAAGATTTGCTTTCTTTTGGCTCAGAAGCATCCAATGAATGCAGCAGAGTCAAGAGATGCTTGTAATAAAGAGTACATGTGTACAGATTGAAGCAAAACTAAAACAACAACAGCAACAAAAAAAAGCACCAATTCAGAGTGGAAAAGGAATGGTGCCGCCCATACCAGAAATCTGATCTAAATCCCATTTCTAGTCAATGGGAATATGGCTTAAATTCAGTGGAGCACAAGGCACCAGTCTGACAGAATCCCCCCTCCCTTTGCAGCCCTTAGCATAATCCAACACTGGCTCCTGTGGGGTTCCTTAGAAGGCTAGGCTAAGGATGAGAAATTACCCTTCCTTCTGTATTCACTAACAGCAGCAGTTTCACCACCAGACTTCCCCATTGTATTTAGGCTAAATCAGCTAAAATTTTAATAATTCAGCTTGGATGGGTAGCAAACTAGACATTTTAACCCAGCTGTCATCAATGTCAGTCAACACTGGGCAATTTAGAATTATATACATTCCCTTTCACTCTATGAAATCTAAACTAACAGCACAGTCTATGAATGAGCACTCAAAATAAATCCTGCTAATGAGTCTTTAGGACTGCAGCTTTAAATAATCATAATCATATGCTGTCAAGTTGATTCTGACTTACAAGCAGCCCTTTCCACTGCAACTTTAACATGGAATAGTATGGCATTTACCTAAAAGAAAGGCACAGTGAGGACACTAGGACTTATTTCTGAGAAACCTCCATAGGATTGCAAGGTAAGGAAGTGAAGTATAAGATCATCCATGGACTTCTCAGGCAACATGGGTCCAAGTATTATTACTTAACCTATGTTTTGTAAAGAGGAATTGATAGCTCATATTGCAATACTGTTGAGAAGATGAATGAAATGGATTTGAATCATTAATATTAAAAATGATAAATCAATCTATTTTAACTTTTAATGTTCTGCTCTGTTAGCAGGTGCATTTCAGAAATTCAAGAGTTTCACACTTGCCTCCATTTACATCCACTGTAGTGTTTCCAGAGCGCAGCAGCCACCTTACTCTTCCACTCTGAAATGTCTGACCACTTGTCCTGACCGAAATGCTTTCTATTTTTAGACCAACGGAGCCGCACTCAAACTTCCAGGCAATGTAACCAGACAATGATCCTTCTTTTCGTGCTAAATAAACCTAGTCAAAAACAACAGTAAAAAAAATGAATAGGGTGACTTGAGCAACATGTATTAAAACTGCAATCCTATTTTCAGTTAGTTTGTTTAATGCTGCTACCATTTGCACACTTACTTGTACGTAAGCCTTCTCAATTTAATGGACCTTGCTTCTAAGTAAAACCCTATACAGTGGTGCCATGACTTACGAATGCCCTGACCTGCGAACAAATTGACTTACGAACAGCTCCGGCCGCAAAATTTTGCTCTGACTTGCAGCCAGAGCTTTGACCTACGAACAAAAAAAGGCAGGGGAAATGGGCGGGAAATTAAAAAAACCCTAACCATTGGTGGTGAAGAGGCTGCTTCTTTGTTGCTCTTTCGCCCCAATGGTTAGGGAAAGGGCAACAAAGAAGCAGAAGAGGTTCTTTCATCTCTCCTCACTTTTTGCCATCAGAGTGCGATCATCTGCATATCGGAGGTTGTTGATATTTCTTTCGGTAATCTTAATCTTGCTTGGGATACCTCCAGTCCAGCCTTTTGCATGATGTATTCTGCATATAAGTTAAATAAGTCGGGGACAATATACAGCCTTGTTGTACTCCTTTCCCAATTTTGAACAAATCAGTTGTTCCATATCCAATTCTAATTGTTGCTTCCTGTCTCACAGATAGGTTTCTCAGGAGATAGATAAGGTGATCAGGCACTCCCATTTCTTTAAGTACTTGCCATAGTTTGCTGTGGTTCACACAGTCAAAGGCTTTTGCACAGTCAATGAAGCAGAAGTAGATGATTTTCTGGAACTCTCTGGCTTTCTCCATAATTCAGGGCATGTTAGCAATTAGGTCTCTAGTTCCTCTGCCCCTTTAAAATCCAGCTTGTACTTCTGGGAGTTCTTGTTCTCTATGCTGCTGAAGCCTACCTTGGAGGACTTTGAGCATAACCTCGCTAGCATGTGAAATGAGTGCAATTGTATGGTAGTTGGAACATTCTTTGGCACTGCCCTTCTTTGGGATTGGGATGTAGACTGATCTTTTCCAGTCCTCTGGCCACTGTTGACTTTTCCAAACTTGCTGGCATATTGAATGTAGCACCTTAACAGTGTCATCAATTAAGATTTTAAATAGTTCAACTGGAATGCCATCACCTCCGCTGGCCTTGTTGTTAGCCAAGCTTTCTAAGGCCCACTTGACTTCACTCTCCAGGATGTCTGGCTCAAGGTCAGCAACCACAATACTGTATCTGGTTAGTCCGGGACATCCAGATCTTTCTGGTATAATTCCTCTGTGTATTCTTCCACCTCTTCCTGGTATCTTCTGCTTCTATTAGGTCCCTACCATTTTTGTCCTTTATCATGTTCATCTTTGCACAAAATGTTCCTTTAATATCTC